CTCTGATCTTGGCAACTTCATCCTTGATTGCTTCATCTACGGCATATGAGAAATCAAACTCAAGCAGTTTCCTCATTCTTGGCAATGCTGAATAAGATCATTTTGAACAAAAAGAAAGGTAACTTCATCAAAAATCACATGTCTCAAAATATATATTCTGCCAATGAGAATATCAAGACACTTGTAGTCTTTGTAATTCAAACTGTAACTCAAGAAGACAAATTCCTTGCTTTTGGGATCAAGTTTAGAAGTTGTATGAGGCTTCAACCATGGGAAACATCTACATCCAAATATTTTCAGAGACGTATAATCCGGAGATCTATGAAATAATGATTCCCAATGAGTTGATTTTGTAACTGTTGGCATCCTGTTGATTAGATAAATTGATGTGGCAAATGCTTCAACCTAGTATGAATAAGGAACCTTGAAGGCTGCTAGAAGAGTTTTAGCAGATTCAACGAGATTTATGTACTTGCGATCAACACAACCATTCTGTTCTGGTGTGTGAGGGCAACTTAACTGATGTGAAATACCATGCAATTGAAGATAATTAATGAACTTGAGACTAAGAAATTCTCCACCAGAATCAGACCTCGAGAGTAACAATTTTGGAACTTAACAAATTCTCAACCAAAGCTTTGAACTGCACAAATGTATCAAATACATTAGACTTGGATTTAAGAGGAAAGACCCAAGTGTATTTTGTATAGCCATCAACAAAGATGATATAATATCGATATCCATTGATAGAAAAAAGTGGTGTAGGACCCCATACATCAGTGTGCAGAAACTCTAAAGGCTTTCTTGATGTACAAGAGACATGAGCAAAAGTCAGCTTGGAACATTTGCCTAAGCACAACTAGAACACACAGATTTATTTAATGAACTTGAAACTGAAATACAGGACTTAGATGCTAGCTTATTTAGTATTTTGAATGCAGGATGACCCAATCTTTAATGCCAAGTATCATGTGAAGCTTTAGCATATGCTGCAAATCCCTGTTGATTTCCAGCAATAGGAGATGCATGAAATAGGTAGAATCCAGCTCTCACATGACCTTTAAAGAGCGTTTTCTCCGAAGAAAGATCCTTCACAATGAAGTGAAAGTGATACAAATGAATAGAACGCCAATTATCAAGTATGAATTGGTTTGCATAAATCAAATCTTGCTTAAGATGAGGAACATGCAAGACATTGATCAAAACAATGAAAGGCAATATTAAGTGTAGATGAACTAGAATTGAGCATAGGCACACCTTTACCATCAACAATATAAACTTGCTCAGCCCATTGTATGCCTCAGGGTTTTGCAGATTGTTGTAGGAATTAGTCATGTGAGAACTAGCACCAGAACTAAAAAGCCATATAGAAGTAATGGTTGCATTGTGTGCAATTTGAGAATTCTTGGTGCCAAAAGTTAGATTTATGCGTTAAGGGCACTCTGCAGCTTCATGATCCATTCGGAGACAAATTTGGCAAGAGATATTTCTGGTATAATTGTTATATTAAGAACGAGAGCCATGGTTGTATCGGGGATTACCCTGATTGCCTTGATTAAACCTTTGATTACCCTGAAAGCCTTTATTATACCTCTAATTTCCACGATTGTTATAATTCCTAAGGTTGGAGAAATTGCCATAATGTTGAGGACCATAGGAATTAAAGTTGAGTCCACTATGAGTAAAGAATGAATGAGAACCTGAATCACCAGTCGGTGTTGGATGAAGGCCAACAAAAGAATGGAAAGCTTGAATTGATGCCGATGAAGAGGTTTTCTTACAAGTAGTTAACTGAAGCTATTTGCTCAAAAAAAAGCCATGGAGTTCATCAATGGTAGTGGAACCAAGCCGAAATTGGATTGCATCGATAAAAGATTCATACTCAAATGGCACACCATGTAAAATCATAGATATCAACTCAAAGTCTTCGATCAGAGCTCCGGCATTTGCAAGTGCATTAGAAATTTCTTCAATTTGTTGAAGATAGATCGCATCCATAGAATCACCATTCATGATGTTACGAAGACGAGAACGAAGTTCATGAATGTGCGATTGTGATGCAGTCGCGAGTCATGATTCCAATTTTGACCATAGCTCATAAGTCAAATTGACTTCAGTAGTGTATGGAATGAGAGAATTCGAGAGTGTAGAATTAATCCAAATCAAAATATTCTGATCATTCTTAGACCAAGTAACATATTGAGGATTCAAAGTAGAGGTGCGATTACCAGACGAGTCAAGAAGAAATTTTGGCAGAACGGTCATCGTGTCGTTAATGATTCTGGTGAGATTGTACCAGCAGAAGATCGGAGCGAACAGAGCACTTCAGGTGAGATAATTCGTTGTGGTGAGCTTCATTGGAACCATAGATCCAATATTTTGGATCGTAATCGACGAAATTGTCGAGGATGTTGAAGAATTAGGTTAACAATTGATCGAAGCAGGATGAATTAGAAAAGTAGATTCAGAGGAAGGAGAACCAGAAGTCGCCATGGCTGGATTTCTAGGGTTTGAAGCTGCAAGAAGAAGATGAGCTGGAAGCACGGGAAAAAGGATCGAAGGTCGTAAAACTTAGGCGAGAGATACCATAATAGGAAAGTTATACTTTCATTTCATGAAAAAATAAGATTACATATTTGGTGTATATATACTAGTGACTCACTCACTTGTGCTAACAACTAATTACATCTTTATCTAACTAATCACTAGTTAATTACAAAACTGTTATAACAAACTCAACTGTTTACAATTTTACCCTTATTAGAAAGGTCAAGGGTTCTCCTTCATGACCTTTGAGTTCTGGAAACAACCTATTTGCAAAGAAAAGCAAAGGTAATGCTACGTACGATAAACGTTCTCTCCACACCAGACCCTTGCACATTGTTGGTTTAGGGTCGCTCTTTTATTCTCGCTATGCACCTCCACTAACATTGAGTGTAATAAAAAAAAAAAAAAAAAGCAAGGTGTCATCATTTTCTTCAGCTCCAATGTATGCATAGTGTTATAATCAGAATAAACTCTATAGATGATGTAGCTGAGATCATAGAATACCCTGAAAACAACTTATTCCAGAGAAGGTCACACACCAACATTTACTCCCAAATCAGCATCCTTGGCATCCATAGAGTGACTTGAAGAACACTACCTCAATATTTTTTATTTGGCAAGTCTCCTTCAACATTCAAGACTCAGCTCAAATACCATGCTACTCGAATAGATTTCACAATGTCACAATAGTAACAGACAAATTTCTCTATCAGATGGTGGATTAAACTAACAACATATATAATGTATTTATGGCATTGAAAGGTGAAATTTTTCAAAATTAACTGTCAACATTTGACAGATCTATTTCAACTTTCCAAGATAGAAATTAATTTCATTACAGTCTTTCTATCAATGGCAAAAAAGCAGGATCTATTTTATCTTTAGGCAGCAAATCAATTATCGATTCAGTAGTTGATGCATCTGCAGAAAAACCTTTCTCTACAATTTGTTGAATAAGTTCCATCGCTTCTGATGACTCATTGTTATGGAAAATACCTCGGATGATTATGTCATAGGTCCAACCATCTGGAGAACAACCTTCATCTTCCATTTCTTTAAGTAACTTTTCCGCTTCACTTGTTAGCCCTCCATTACAAAATCCACCAAGTATTATGTTACACCCTGATGATAAACTCCGAAAGAGATTCCTTGCATATTCAAACCTTTTACCTACCATCTCACGAAATAGTTTGAATGCCATTGGGAGTTCTTGCATCTAAGTGAACAACTTTTGTGCATCATGTATTCTCCCTACTTTGCAAAAACCGTCCATGGGAGTGTTAGAAGCAACGACATCCTGAAAGACTATCTTACGAGACATTTCCTTAAAAATCATTACTGCCTCACCTATCCTTTTATGCTTACAATAGCCATTTATGATTATGTTGTAACCATAAGCATCAACCGTGTAGTCCTTGTTGAGCATTAGTTCCAAAACCTTCTTCACCTCAACCATTTCTTCTCGCAAGCAATACCATCCACAAGAGAATTATAAGTAACTATGTCAGGGCTGATATCTCTTTCAGTCATCATTTCGAACATACTTTTTGCTTCCTTGACCAAACCCTCTTTACAACGGGTGTCTATCAAGACATTGAAGGTGTGTAGATTTCGAAATATACCTTTGCTCACCATTTCATTAACCAATCCCTCAGCTTCTTTCGACTCCCCTAATTTGAATACTCCATGTCAAAGAATTATAGGTAATGATATCAAGGTCAATACCTTTACTCATCATTTCAGAGAAAAGGTTCATCGCATCAACAACCATAGTATCTTTCCATAAGATTGTCAATGATCGTGCTATAGGAAACAATGACAGACTTGCAACCTGCCTCTTCCTTCCACTTCAGCAATTGAATAGCTCCATTGTTATGCTAAAATAAGCAATAATTAACCACCATAGGGTGGCCTAGCAGGCGAAGAGAGTTTGAGACTCGTATTTCACACAACACATCTTGAGTTCAATTCCTGACACTACTATGAAGAAATTTTTCAATGTGATCATACATCAGATGTTACTATACAAATAATAGAATATATGTGTTCAAAAATTAATAACTTAAAAAATAAAATTTCTCACCACTTACATAAAAACACGTAATGTACCACTTATATTCTCATCACAATAAATAATTTCTCACTACAATAAGTCTCCTTTTAGAAAAAAAAAAAAAAAAAAAAACAATTAACTTGCACTCTAGTAAATTGGCAGATGAAATCTTCCTCTCCCTATTGTATCCTAAATTAAAACTCCTTTTTTTTTTTTTTTTTGGGAAACTAAATTAAAACTCCTTACGTATACAATATCGCTTATATTATATTGAAAGAAAAAAAACAGTACCGTACTCTTTAATGGTTAAAAGATCCATATAAAGAAAAACTAAATAGTCAAAATTCAAACAAAACCAAAATTCTTCAGAAAGAGAAAAAGAAAAAAAAAAAACTCATAATTTGCAGATACCAACACCAAACTCTATTAATTTCTTCAGAAATTAGAATCCAGAGAGCAAATTACAAATTGCAACTTTGAGATTGAACCGACATTGAAAAAACCCACTAACTACGACACTAATTACAGCATCAGCCATCGAAACCTAAGCCCTAACAATACAAACACCAAATCACCAGTCCTTTCTTGACAGCAAGACTTTTCCCCACCAGAACCCTAACCCCCAAACCCGTACAGAGTCCTGCCCTGCCTCTTGAGAGCGTAAACAACGTCCATCGCCGTCACCGTCTTCCTCCTGGCGTGCTCCGTGTAGGTAACGGCGTCCCGAATCACGTTCTCGAGAAAGATCTTGAGGACGCCACGGGTCTCCTCGTAGATCAGGCCGCTGATTCGCTTCACGCCGCCTCTGCGAGCCAGGCGCCGAATCGCCGGCTTGGTGATGCCCTGGATGTTGTCGCGGAGGACCTTACGGTGACGCTTCGCTCCTCCCTTGCCCAGTCCCTTGCCTCCCTTTCCACGTCCCGTCATTGTTGCGAGCCGAAAATTTCAAAAATCTGAACACAAAATTCAAAAATTAGAAGTCCGAAAGAGAATTTGAAACCCTAATTTGCGAAACCGAGAGACTTGAGATGTTTAGAGAGAGAGGAAAATGACCAGAGAGAATGGTTTGCTATTACGAAATGAATGCTGTTGTTTGGATTCTGAGGGCATTTATAGGGCAATGTGGGATTTTGAGAACGACGCTCGATCCGTGTGCATGCTGGAGAAGAGGTTTTGGACCGTCGATGAATTTGCGTTGACGGTGAGATGGAGGTCAAGTGAGGATCGATGACGTGGGCTGTTTTTAAGTTTCCTGCGCTTGTTTTTTGGGAATGGGGATATCCGAAATACTCTAATCACATTCGTTCATCAAATATTATGCAGTCAGTTTTCGTCAAATATTATTTATATTTAATTTTAAATAAAAAAATTTATAATTATTTTATACCGTACAATATACGACAAAAAGATGTAATTGAATAATATTTCTTAGTGGGCTTTGTGAGGCCCAGCTGTTGGCATATCTTTCACTCCACCGCTGTTTTGCGAATGGGCTTTGTGAGGCCCAGTGTATTTTGAAATCACATGTGAATGTCATCGACGATGTTCAATCCAGAAAGCAAATAGTAACCAATGCTAAGGTAAGGATTTTGTAAGGTTAATTGGAAATTATTATATTGATATTGCATATCCAAAGCTATTAGCAACAAAAATTTGTATTTTCTTGACGAAAATTATCATGATGTTTTGAAATTAAATCTTACAAGAACGTCGTAATAATTCACTTCGCAATGTAGAAAAAGACCCTTAGTTGGTATTTCACTTCCTCATCATCATCTCCCGTATTGAGTAATTGTTGGTGTATATATATTAGTTTCTTTTCCTCAATCAGGTCAATCTTGTTTGTGTGATAGTCTTGTGGACATGTTTGACTGTGAAAATCATCAGAATTTATGTCCATCTTGTCATACTGCGAAAGCTTCTATTGATGCTGTGGAAATTAAAGCTCCTGCATTAACCTCTGAAGCAAAACCAAACAATGCAGATGGTTCGGGATTCATGATTCGCAATCACAGATGTGCGTGACTAATCGCGAATTGGATGCTGTGCCACCTAATGGTAATTTAACATTTCAAGCGTTAAACATTGGGTTGAATGATACTTTTTCTGCTAATTCCTAAGTTGAAGTTTCCACTAATTACCAGGATTCAGATATTCCTACTCCTCCCAGTGAAGAGGCTTTGCGTGTGTTGCAATTTGGTTTAACGTTTTTTTGTATACTTCATATGTATTGAACGTACAAGGATACACATATATATGAGAAGGACTAGTTACAATCAACTATCCTTAGGCAAAACCCTAGAGACCGGCCATACTCCTTAATTGAAGGAAATTACACCAAATACTAGTGACCGGCCATACTCCTTAATTGGAGGAAACCAACCACAAGTAAGGAGTGATTTACACTTTTCTGTCAAGGAAAAAACAGCAGCCCATGCTGCAACTAGGCAGCTAAAGTTGACAAAGAAAGTGCCACGATTTCCGGATTACATAATCTACATAATCTGTCTAGGGTTAGTTAGTGACTCTCAATAGCACGTGAATGGTTCTGATACACGAATTGATGTGATACACGAATCCGGAAAACTCGGCCAACAGCTCCTTGATATCAGCAGCAATGAAACCGAGACTAGAGAGATCCGCCAATCCTCCAGCACAAGCAGCCACGGCTTCTAGCGAATCCGTTTCCACCTGCGGATGAGCACAGCCCACTCTGCTCGCGAGCTTCAACCCTTCACGGATGATATTGTTTCTTTAGCTATCTATCGATTGCCAACGTTTGTTTTGGCAAGTTAATTCTTAAATTTGCATCAGTTTCACCTTCTATAACGTCAACCCCGAGTTCATCTGCATCTTTGTAGTAATGCTTAATTGTTTCTTATACATGGGTGTTTGTTCGTTTGTTACCCCACTCGTAAGGGTGGGATGACCCTACTAACCTAAGGGGCTTAGTGCGTGCTTAAAGTGACTTCACAAGAGGGGTGAACAGATTTCAAACACCATGGCCTAACTTGACCAAGATTCTATCACCCATCAATCGTCTTAATGCCCTGCTTAGTTACAAACCTGCACTACCAGGCTCAGCTAATTGTTTCTTATACATCGATGCAGGGAAATCCAGGCCAAAAAGGAAGGCTCCTCATCAAGTGAAGTTTCGTCCTCTTAAGCGATTGTTGCAATACTATACCCTTGAAGAAGGCGCGGAAAAGTAAAAAAAAAAATAAGATGGCATGACTGCAAAGATTTTCTATATTATCGGTCGACATAATGAGTTATCAAAAATTAGCTTCGGCACTTGAAAATAGGTGAGTGAATAAACTGTGTTTGTTGTAACGTAAGCCTCATAGTTCTCGTGTTTTTGAAAGCGGCTCGTTAAGCTTTTCATTTCCATGCCAAAATATGAATGAAGTGGGTGGCCAAGATATTTATCTGATCATACTTCACCTTCTTAAACGAAGTTTTGTGTTCAAATCTAATGAACTGAATCTGAAAGATATGTGTATATGTTGTGTTCACATTGGCTAGTGCAAAGGGGACCTTTTTGGAGGCATTATCCTGAAGGGACTATGCAAAATCCATGATAAAGTCTCAGAATCTAGAGACCTTGTGCGTGCAAAATTGTTGTTACTGCTCTTCATGTGCTATAATGCTCTTCTTTCTGGTGTCTTTATTTGATTATTTAGTTGTCTTATTTTATCAAATGTAATGGTTTTACAGTGGTGACAAGACCTTTCTTGTCTTTCTGCTGATTCATCATCCCACCATGATCGCCATCATTAAGCTTTGCCTTTCCCTTTTCCAATCCAGGGCACCAATTCTATTTGTGCCATTTTTACTCAATTACCGGCCGAAAGAAACTTTAAGAATGATCAATTTTCTCGAGCCTATTTGAATGTAATATTGAATTTGAACCATATATTATATTGACTATTGAATTAGATAAATAACTTAAACAAAGTGACTAAAGACCGCATGAATATATTTATTGGTCAATTATGTGTCAACACTAGTGTCGGTAAAAACTTCAAATAAAATTATAAATTTAGTAGGGTAAATTTCAGCTTTCAATTATTTGCTCAAACAGTCTTGAGTGAACTTTTGTAGTTCAAGTTTTTGCTACTTATTTGTGTGTGTTGTCTCTGTGGCATTTATCATTCACTGATACATGTCTATAAACTTAATCATTCTTAACCATGTTGTCATAAATTTAACATGTCTTAATCAATGATAGAGATCATAGAGAGGCCACGCACAAAGTAGTGGAGAAAATTTGAACCACTGTTTGGGCTACAACCTACGAGATTAAATTTTTTGCACCCTTTTGGGTATAACCTCTCTATGGTCTCAATCTTTGTTTGATACACATTCAGTTTATGACAATAAAATTAAAAAAATTTAATTGTATAATATATATCAGTCAACAATTAGAATTATAGAGAAATCACACTTATTTTAAGTGCAAAAGATTTGATCTCACAATCTACAGGTACATCATTTTTTAGCAGGGCAATGATTGGCAAGTGGCAGCTCCTGTGTTGGATTTGGAGCTAATAAGATATTATTTTTTATGTATGTTTTTCCGTAGTGTTTAACATAATTAATGGTTTAACCACGGCCCGCGCCCGGCCGACAAAAACTCAAGAGCGCTGTCCTAGAGTTTTGCCTGAAGAACCAGCTATAGCCTTTGGTTAAAAGAAAAGGTGGGATAATTGGATTCTAATGATTCTAAATTATTTATTTAATATTTATATTTTTATAGTTTTGACATTAATTGTTTGATATTTTATGAGATTTAAAATCCTATAAATTTAAAACCCCTCATTATAATACTATTAGAAACGGTTACAATAAAAAAATTCAAACATTTTGATTGAATAAATGCATAAAAATTATGTAAAAATAAGAAATAATAAATGGAAAATTAAAAAAAATGGTACATTTTACATAAATTAGGGTACATATAAAAGATAAAAAATTATGAGTACAAATGAATATTTAAAAATATAGGCGCTAAAAGAAATTAATACATGGGTACAAAATAAAACTAAAAAGAAAATACTACAAATTAAAAAAAAAAAATTGTTGCAAATTAAAAGTGGGTACAAACTAAAAATATAAATATATGATACAAAGTTTAGGCATAAAACATAAATATACCATATGTAATTTTTCTATCATTGATTAAATATACAATGTCACATGACGGTATATACATGGGTACAAACACAAATAAAACTTTAAAAAATAGGGGCACAAAAGAAACAATATATGGGTACAAATTAAAAATGAAAAGAAAATTGGTACAAATTAAAAAATATTTGCAAATTAAAAATAGGTACAAACTAAAAAAAAATATGATAAAAAATTTAGCCATAAATATAAATATACTAATTGTAACATTTTTAACACTAAAGGAATATATTTAAAAATAAAAATATTTTATTATTCAAATAATTAATGATGTTATTAATACCCAAGGACCTTAATCAAAAATTCAAAATGAATAGGATTTTAATCAATAGAGTACTAAAAAAAAGAATGTGAACCTAATTTTTCCCTTTAATAATAATAGTAAGCATCTTCCATCATTCAACATGAACGACCAAATGATTAGCATAAAGATTAGTTATAAATCTTGCCTTAATTATAAACAAGAAATGAAGTGGTGGATGACTTGTAAAGAGGATGCAAGTGGATTATGGAGCTGCTTGAGCCTTGACCATGCTCCAGCTTTTACTGTTATTGGGTCGGCGTCTTAAACATTAGCTCATTCTAAAGGACTTGTTTGATAAGTGTAATGACTAAAAGCCCCAATTTAGAGATAGTCAAGAGCTTTTCTGGAATTGCTTCTGTGACAAGCACTTATGGTTATAAGAATTTCGTGTAAAAGTGCTATTAAGTTAGAGATGTGTCAAAAAAGTCCCAATTTAAGAGGATGCAAGTGGTGAATGGCTTGTAAAGAGGATGCAAGTGGATTATGGAGCTGCTTGAGCCTTGACCATGCTCTAGCTTTTACTGTTATTGGGTCGGTGTCTTAAACTTTAGCTCATTATAAAGGACTTGTTTGATGAGTGTAT